AACACCTTTGTCCTGGAATATTGTGGAGAGGTACTTGATCATAAAGAGTTTAAAGCTCGAGTGAAGGAATATGCACGAAATAAAAACATCCACTATTATTTCATGGCTCTGAAAAATGATGAGGTGAGCAGTGTAGTCGTATTTGCTTAGAAACAGATCTGGAAATTGTTGAGTTTGAAAGATTGCCAGTACTGACTGAGCTCTAAGATAGGTGAGAAAAATGAGAAGAATTATTTTGTGTATGAATGTAAAGACTAGTTTCTTAAATTTTTAGGTCTTAACAGCCCTTTGCAACTCTTTAAAATTTTTGAGGATTCTCAGCTTTTGCTTGTCCTTACCAGTATTTACTTATTACTGAGGAGTTTCAAATGATTGATTTATTACACTTTTACTAATTTCTAATGTTTTAGTAGAGTTCAATTATATTTTTATGTCTTTGTATCCATTCTGTTCATAATTATCATGCTTCACATAGCCTCTAGAAAACTGTGCTGTATGCTTCCATGTTCCTTTGTGAGAAAAAAAGGAATGAAAAAACAATAGAATTTTCTTAATATTATAGTGAGAGGCACTTTAATCTGGACAACCTGAAAGGGCATGGGGTGTTGGGATATTGGAGAACCTTAAGAGCGAAAGTTCTGGGTAGGAGATGTATTTCTCACTTTACACGCCTATTGTACTGTACTTATTTATTTATTTATTCATTCATTCAATCAATCAGTCTTCTCTGGTAGTTAGGGAAAAGATGATGGGTTAAAAAGAAGAGCTATTTATAAGTAAGATAAGTCTGGAAAAATGAGGATATGATGTTTATTAAGAGTAGATAGAAAAATTTGTAAAATTGACAGTGTTTAGCACAAGGAAGTTGTAATATTTGGTAAATTTTTGTTGTTGTAATGATAGAAATGTAAAAATGACATTTTAGCCAAAGTTAGGCTTATATAGATTGTTATATTTAAATGCATTAAAAAGATAAATTGGTGATTGAGTCTTAAACTTAAGTCTTTTTTTGAGAGCAGGTAAGAAGGTACACACTTAGGAGAATTAATGCTTCTGAGAGCTTGCAAAAAAATTCCTATCAGTAAGTTTTGATATTTTGAAGTGTTAGAACATAGAAGAATTTTCTTGAGATTGTGTTGAAACATAATCATCAATTTATGTAATTATAGCAAGTTGATAGGGAGCAATTGTTAAGTAAAAAGATACTTAGTGAACATCAGCCCTGTGTAGTACTCAGCTAATGTTTTTATATAAAGACAATTCTAAGTAAGAATTTTCAGAATTCTAGTTTCTGCATTGGTTTTCTTGTTAAATGGATGGAAAAGGAGCTTAAAGGTTATCTTTAAAAATTGTAAAAGGTTTTGGTGAAATTTTAAGTAAAATTCCTATTTTAAAAGAAGAAGATGAAACTGTTTATACAGTGTGCTCCTCTTTTGTAATGTCACAGTTGATGGAAGTAGGGTGAAATTCAACTATATAGTAAGAAAAATGTACTCCTAATTTAAAAAAACTCTGCTGGCCTAGAGTGTAAGCTGCTCCTCGAGATACACAGTCCTCTCCCATGTGATTGACTTCCTCTAAAAATCTTTTGAGAGTCAACTGTGAGACAGCTCCAACTTGATGGCAATGAGTGAATTGAGCAATCAAAGCCCAAACCCATTATTGACTAGTCAGTTCTAACTCACAGCAACAAGTTTCCAAGGCTGTCTGTATCCTGTTTGGAGAAGCCAGCTGCCTTATCTTTCCACTATGGAGAGATTCAGAAATAACCCAAAGTAAATGAGAGAGGCATTGGTAAAGATGGGAAGAATTTACCTATTGGTTAAATGTTTTTAGTTAGCAAATCATCCAGAGAAAACAGTGACTTTTGTTACTTCTTTCTTTCTTTTTTTTTTTTTTAAATTTACATGGTTTTATTTATTTTCTTTTCTGGCCAGTACTGATGCAAGAAAATATTTCTATTCTCAGTATGATAGACTTTTGTTACTTTGATGTAAAAGGTGGTATGAGAAAATTATCTAATGCAGAAGGTTGGGAGAAAGTCTGAATTTACCATAATGTTTTTCTTTACACAATATAATTTTGTGTGTGTGCATGTTTTGCTTTTTAAATTTTTTAAATATTAATTTTAATGAGAATTTACAGAGACTTTGGATTTCCATTCATTGATGCACTTTTCTCCCTGCCCACCCCTCCCCATGTGTGGGGGGTTTTTAAACTTTTTTAAAATTTATTATTCAGTAAAAATTTACAGAGTCTTTGGATTTCCATTCATTCATTGTTGCACTTTTCTCCCCTCTCAACCCTCCCTCCCTACTACACTACCCTCTTGGAAAAGTAAAAGAAAAATTCTTTCATTGTTTTACAAACCCTCCCCCAGGTCCACTCCACTATGCAACTTTCATTCTGGACTTCTGTCATGACAAAAATACCTAATCACATATCCCTTTTAAACAGTTTTCTCCCTCATCTGTTTCAATGCAGTATACATTATTGAACCCATCTTTCTCAGTCTCTTCCCCAACCCCAAGGTCAGTCCTGTTTTACAACAGTGGCACCATGCAGTATTTGTCCTTTTGTGACAGATACTTCACTCAGCATAATGTCCTCCAGAGTCACCCATTTTGAATAGTATTGCATGAGTTCCTTGTTTTTCAATGCAGTGTATTATTCCGTTGTGTGAATATACCACAGCTTCTCTATCCATTCGTTTGTTGATGGGCACTTAGGTTGTTTCCAACTCCTTGCTATTGTGAACAAAGCCGCAATAAACATGGGTGTGCATATATCTGCTTTGATGGCAGTTTGGTCTCTGTGGGGTATATTCCCAGTAGTGGAATTGCTGGGTCAAATAATATCTCTATTTGCAACTTTTTGAGAAAGCGCCATACCATCTTCCACAGTGGTCATGTGTGTTTTTTTAAGTTCTCATGTTTTACTCTTGAATTACTTTTTTTCCTTTACAGATAATTGATGCCACTCAGAAAGGAAATTGCTCTCGTTTCATGAATCACAGCTGTGAGCCAAATTGTGAAACTCAAAAAGTAAGTTAAGGTAGATTGAGAATTTCTGATATTTATTCAGAGTTGCTATTCTGACCATTAATTTTAAATCTTCCATCAAAAGTGTCCATGAACTTAATTTTTTTAGTATCTTTTCTATTTATTTGAAGGAAATTATTTTAAAATTTAGATTTTTTTCTTAAATTGCAAAATAATACATAATTATGTCTTTCAAGCTGCTTTACCTCAGTGCTAATTTAATGTATAACCCTAATGCAATGATCAGGTTCAGGAAATAAAACTCATTAATTTGAAGAATCAAAGCAAGTGGTTTGTATCCACCAGCTGCTCCATGGGAGAAAGATGGGCAGTCTGCTCCTATGCAGTTTAGTCCCTCTCCTGTGCATTTCAATGCCTCTCAACACCCACTAGATGGTCAACTTTGGGTCACTTCCCACTCAAAGGCACACAACAGCAGAAATCTGAAGATTGTATTTGAATTTTTGTCGGCTGTTTCCCTCATGGCCTTTTATAGCAGTATATAATCCAGGAATCCATTTTGCCTTTATTCATCATGTCTCCTTGCCCACAAAATTTTGGTATTAATTTTAATGAACTTCAATGCATAGTGCTTTATTTAGATTCTTTAACAGCTGCTTTCCATGTGCCAGATGTGACTGGTTTAATAATACTGAAAGAATTGAGCTGTCAAATGAGAATGATTATGGATAGTTTCCATGTGGACACACAGCTGCTTCTCAGTCACACTTTGAGTCTTTCTTATCTTTGTGACCCTGGCACATGGTTGACACTTGATAAATTTATTTATGCAATTTGATAAAACATTTTAGATAATAATCTTATTACTCTCCAATTTGTGTTTTGATTTTGACTTGTAAATATGTATTTTAAAATAGTGGTTCTTTGAGTTTTTTAGCTTAAGAATATTGTGGATCCACTCGCCAGAAAATACACATTAATTGATCTCTTTTATGCTGAAATAATGTTTTTGGTTCTTGGGTATTCCCCCCAATTTTCTGCACTAATAGGTTTTATGTATCTTTCTATGTCATTAGCTACTAAAAGCCAAGCAAAATAATAACCCAGTTTGAGTCATTTAACCTAACTTAATCCTTACACTCTTAGCCACTGGTCACTAGATCCCACTGTATTCCTTCATTTCTCAGAAAGTCGTTCTCTTTTTTTTTCCCAATCAGGATCAGGAACAAGTGGCTTGGACAGGAATGCTCCAGTATTTGATTTGCATATGTGTCTTGTAACTGTAGGATCTTATAATTTAGTATATCTACCCCTGTTTAATTCTTGATTTTATGCCTCTGCTCTGATACCCCACCTCATCATACTATGACATAAGACTGCTGTTTCATTAACATTTTAACATCGGTCTTTCTCATACAATGAAAGAACTTTTTCCCCAAAGAAAAAAGCAAACTGGGGAGAGGGCAGACAGGGAGGAAAATGTGCAACAATGAATGAATGGAAATCCAAGTTCTTTGTAAACTTTTATTAAAATTAAAAAAAAAATAAAACAACAACAACAAAAAACCAAGACACAAACATCACTTTTTCTCTGGTTCCAGACCCCATTTATCTTTCATTAACAAAAGAATAGGTGGCTAGAACATATTTTTTTAAATACCTAAGAGAACATAACAGTAAGTATAAATTTGCCAGTGAAATTCAGTGACCGCAAATGCTCCTATTTGCCTAGAAAATCTTTCATGTGTAGAAATGTGTATTTAAAAAAAAATTCTAACCGTTCTATTAGAGATAAAAGTAGACTCCATTAACTGAGTAACACTTAAATATGTTAACTTTATATAAAAAAGTATTTCCTGTTTAGTACTTGAGAAGTTCTTCATTGCTTAAAGACATATGTGTAGTTGAGTCAGAGATGTTCTTTTACAAAATAAAAAATGAAATAGGTTACTGATTTATTTTCTTTTTAAAATATCTCAGTGGACTGTGAATGGACAACTAAGAGTTGGATTTTTTACCACCAAACTGGTTCCTTCAGGTGCAGAGTTAACATTTGACTATCAGTTCCAACGATATGGGTAAGTTCTGCTTCTACTTTTGCTGTGTCCTGATGAGGAACTAGGCTAGACTCCGATAAAAAGATAAAACATTTTGCTGTGAATTGCTTAGCAATTATATTGAATATTCTTACTCTAGCATACAGTTTTGGTTTAATATGTTTTTCCAGCTTATGACACTACTGGCCTCTAAGGGACATACAAGTACAATCACTACCTAATTTCCCCTCTGAACATTTTATCCTCTTATTACTAACTGCTAATTGAATTTTCATAAACATTAATTATAAAATTGTCAAGTACGTGTATGAATATAAATAGATTAATATGTTCCTGTGTATCCTTCAAACCGTGCTCATAGCAACCCAACAGGACAATTGCACCACCTGATAGGGGTTTCCCAAATCTCCATAGGAGCAGACTGCTCATGTTTCTACAGTTAAACCACTGAAGGATTAACAGTCCAGTTTTTCACTTAGCCAAGTGCTCCTTAAATTAGTTATAACTGGAAGGAACTACTTTATGATTTTGAAAACTTTTTTAAAAAGGAAAGAAAGAAGCACTTATCCTACCTTTCCCACAAAGGTGCTACCTCAGGCTGAACCAAATAATTGATGAGAGGAAGTTCTTTGTAGCAGTGGTGTGGCTATCAGTGAAGTTGAAGTGAAACCACAGTCGGGCTTTCTGATTTTGTAGTCTACAGGAAGTTGCTCTATTAACCCAAAAGCTGTGCCTCTCTGGTTTGAATCCAGTAGACAATCTTCGGGAAGAAGATGAGGAATCTCCTCCTGTGTGATTTACAGCCTTGGGAATCCAGGGGAGGGTCACTTTGCGTTTATTCTGACTTAACAATAAAGAGAGAGAGAGAGAGAGAATGAAACCACTATTTTCCAATTTCTGACAAACGAACTAATAGGTGTTTAGACAGTGATCATTAGCTGCCTGATATAAAAGCACAATATCTATGAAATAGTCTTGCCAAAAAAAAAAATTACATCTGAATTAGTTAAAACTTCTCAGAAGTAAGAACTGTAGGAAACAGAAACAGATATTACAGGAATATATATAATCAACAAAATACTGACTTTGGGACACTAAAACAAATAAATTGGCTGAGTATACATGCTGTATAAGAATTTGCATAGCACATTATTTTTCCACTTAGTAATTGACACACAGATCATTCTGTGATATCGATTGTGATCCACACAGTGTTGGTACTCTTCCTGTTTTCTGTTCATTCAGCTCTTCTGCCCTATGTTACCTTCTCATGTTTACTTTTGGAAAGAGATTAAGGAGCACATTCTTTCCAGGTATTTATCTCTAGAGGAGGGTGGACAGTCTCTTCTCATTAAGATTTACAGCCTCAGAGAACAAATGAAGGGTTGCTCTGAGTCATAAATGACTTGACAGCAGTGAGTGTTTGGCTGGAAGGTGGTTTCCAGGAGTGGCTTCAGTTCTAGGTTAGAAAGCATGAGTCTTAGAGATTCCACCAGTGTCTGTCTGATCAGTAAATGTAGTCTTTTTAATGACTTTTCATTTCTATCTGTTTTTTACCCACTCTTTTGGAGATTTTCTGACTGTTCTGGTCAGAATCTAGTTCTTTCTGTTTCAGGTTTTAATTCATGTGGGTGATTAGTCCTTTGGGCTAATTACATCCTTAAGTTGTTGATTTTACTCATTCTGAATTGTTTTAGATGATAAGAGACCAGTATTTGTATCTTACATGATCACTTAGCAAGCTTTTGAAACTCCTGACACTACTTGGAATATGGAACATAATCATTATGAAATATTATGCCTGCTGATTTAGATGTCCCTCACGTTGGTTATCCTGAAACCTTTTTGTCCAGTAAATAAACCCTTTGAGATGTTTGTATCTTAGAAGTTTTCATAAATTTTTGTGCTCTGTTATATATGTATATACATGTAGCACTTATTAGTATGTATGTAGAAATACATACAATTATACTTGTCTAAAAGTATGTGAATTGCACCCTTCCAGCACACATATCTACCTTTTTAAAATTTTTAATTTTTTAAAATTTTTTTGTGTGTTCACCATCAAATTGGTTCTAACTGGTGCAGGAGGAGACTGTCCCTCCTTCTCCACTAGGCCACCAGAGCTTCCGCTACCTTTTATTTTTTAATGCAAAGAAATGTATTAGGAAGAATACTTGACAAACGGAGACAAGGAGGGTCAAGGTACCACTAGGTCGTGACACACCTACTTTTATACCCATTAAGTAATTAAAATTTACTATTGTTATTGCAATTCATCTGACTCAAAATTGAAGGAGCAACAGTGTCTCTCTGGAGACTAAGGTGCGCCTGATACAGGTCATGGTATTTGCAATCGCTTGTTATGCATCAGAGAGTTGGACAATGACTAGGGAGGGCAGAAGGAGAGTGGATGCTTTTGAGCTGTGGTGCTGGAGAAGGGTACTGAATGTACCATGGACTGCCAGGAAAACAAACAGATTCATCTTGGAGAGGATTAAACCAAGCTACTCCGTGGAGGCAAGGATTCTGGGGCTTCGTCTGACATACTTTGGACATGTTGCCAGGAGGGACGGGTCCTTGGAGAGGGACATCATGCTTGGGAGGGTGGAGGGACAGTACAGGAGGGGAAGACCCTCTATGAGATGGATTGATTCAGTGACTGGGGTATTCGGGATGGGTGTGTCAGAGGTGGTGCAGTTGGCGCAGGATAGAGCAGGGTTTAGGGCTGTTGTGCATAGGGTCGCTATGAGTGGGAAACGACTCGACGGCACATAACAACAACAACAATTGTTATTGCAGGATTGTATATGTTATGGTATTAATAGTTGTGCTTTATTCTTGTGTACTTCTCATTGTCTGTTTGCCTTGATCACATTGTGTTTTACTGTCATATTGTGTTTTTCTTTGCACCCAAATAAATACAGATCTGTAGATCGCTTTTAACACTTCAAAGACGTCTTTGAAGGAGCTTTGCTGATACTTTGTTTGATTTCTTGACTTCTACTTTTATCTGAAAGAATTCATTTTAAAATAGGACCTAACATTTTTATTTATCATATTATATGTGTATGCATTGGTAGCTTCTCTGTTGATACTAAATAGCACTTCAGGTGTTGTTTCCTGGGTATTTTAATGCTCTTAGTGCAACTATATGAAAGAAATTTAGTTATTCTAAGCTATACAAAGTTTATCAGTTACTTATACTGTGGCATTGAGAATGTTTGAGATACTCCTGTGCATGTTTTATGTTTATTATCTGAGAACTTAATTCTGAGGTACTTGTACCTCTGATTATGACCTAGTACAAATAGCAGCTGATTAATTCCCATTCAGTCTGTCTCCTTTGGCAGATGTTCAAGGGATGAGTGCAGATCAGGTTCATAGTAAAACCTTGTGCTTGTATGGATGCCTTTGAGGTGAGGGAAACAAAATCAAGTGTAATATGTGATTTTGTGAAATTTTTTTTCTCCTCTCTCTCTCCATTGAACAGTATATTTTTGTGCCTCTGATTACTGCTATCCTATACTAAATCTGTTAGTTTGCATTTAAAATACTCCATGTTTTCTTCAGTTAGTTCTGGTCACAGAGTTAATAAATGGTCACCTTTGTCTACCCAAGCCTACGACTTAAGACCAACCTAGGGCATCACTCTGTATCACTCTCCCTTGATCATTTATTTATTACAGTGTTTATTATTACTTTATCTTATCCTTATAACCTTTTAATAATATTTCTTTTAAAATATCCTGTTCTAATTAATACATTTATATCTGCTTCTGACAATATATTTTGTCTTTTCTCTGCCAATTAAACACTTAATATGCCGATAATAAGGAACCAGGATGGCTTAGTGTATAAAATATAAGACTGCTAATTAAAAGGTTTGCAGTTCACATCCACAGTTGTTCAGAGATAGAAGGATAAGTGGTCTCCTATAAAGATTTACATCCTTGGAAACTCAGTGGAGAGTTGCATCTCTGAGACAGAAACAGTAATATTAATGTCTAAGCTATTTAATCATTGTTCTTAGATCAAGAATATATATTAGTCTTATTTTCCTATCTTAGTAAATGCTTTCAAGTTATTGTTAGATGCCATTGAATCCCTGCTGCTCATAATGACCCTATAAACAGAGTTGACCCTTGCCCTGTCCTGCAGCATCCTCACATCTTTCTCAATTTTGGGCTCACTGTAGCCACTGAATGTCATCTTCTCTTTCCCTGACCCTCTCTCTCTGTCTTTCCTAATGTGATGTCTTTTTCAAGAACTGACCCTACTTGGCAGCCTTTCCTGAAATAGGTGACCGAAGTTTTATCATTCTTGCCTCTAAGGAGCATTTTAATTGCACTTCCTCCCAAGACAAACTTTAGTCTTTTATTCTTGTCTATTGTATATCCAATACTCTTTGCCAGTAACACAGTTTAAAGGCATCCATTTTCTTCGGTCATCCTTACTTAATTGTCCATCTTCAGATGCATAGAAAACAATTTTAAAATATCACCTTGCTCTTTAACACTTTGGAGAGGTTCTGGACATCAGATTTCCACAGCACAGTGTGTTTTTTGATTTCTTAACTGTGGCTACCATAGCTGTAGATTGTGTAAGTGTTGATTGTAGATCCAGGTAAAATCAAATCATTGATAACTTTGCTCTTTTTATAGTCTCTTGTCTTTATTCAGTTAGTGCTTCAAATCTTCACTTTCAGCAAGCATGGTTGTGTCATCTGCATTACACAGGTTGGAGAAATTACTCATTCAATTCTTGGTTGCTTTTGTTTAGCCAATAAAGGAAGATTGGAAAAAGAATGAATATATTTTTAAGCATTTTATGGTGATTTAGGTTAATGTTTACAGAGAAAATTGGTTTTCCAGACAATTTAAACATGTTTGTTACATTGAGAACAAATATATTTTAAGGCATTTTCATTAGATGTGTCAGATTTATTGGGGTTTCTTAGAATTACTTTTTTTTCTTTAGCTGGAAATGATTTCTATCTTGAATGTAATTGTTAAATTGTTGACAACTTCATATTGTTCACTTCTTTTTTTCTGCTTCCTGGACAGAAAAGAGGCACAGAAATGTTTCTGTGGGTCCGCTAATTGCCGAGGTTACCTGGGAGGAGAGAACAGGGTCAGCATTCGAGCCGCAGGAGGGAAGATGAAGAAGGAGAGATCCCGGAAAAAGGATTCAGTGAGTGTTTTATCCTTCTTTTAACTTTTCACAGTGTATATTTTAAGGAAGATAGGTAGCTTTTTTTTTTTCCTTTTCTTAAGGTAGCTTTTTTGAAAAGTTTTTAAAAGGCAAACTAATTACCAAAGAAATTTAGGACCAGATGAAATACTATTGGAAAAGAAGTATGGTGGCATTTTTAAGTTAAGAGAAATTAGAATTCAATAGTGAGAATTGTTGAAATCATCTTGAAAACATTTGGGTAACAGTTTGTAAGAACTTGTAAAAAATCCTTAGTGGAAATACTTACAAGTCAATTAGCTCAGTTAACTCTAATCTACATTCTCAATCTTTGAGTATAGGTTTTCCTTTTGTTTAGAATTCTAAGCTTTGAATGTGTTATAAAATTATATTCTGGGAAGATTTTTCTCTTTTCTTTTTTTTAAAAGTACAAAGTGAGTTTTAGAACCCAACAGACAACCTAAGAATGAGTAAAAAATAGTCTCAGAGGGTTTGTTGGGGGCTTTTGTTGTTTTTGTGACAAGCTTTTTTTTTCTTTTTTAATTATTTTTGTGTGCGTGTACCGTCAAATCAGATCTGACTGGTACAGGAGGAGATTGTCCCTCCTTTCCCGGCAGAGCATCTGGTGGATTCGAACTGTGCGCCTCTGGGATTGTAGTTGCAGCTCCTTGCCACTAGGCCACCAGAGCTCCCCTGTGACAAGCTTTTATATACCTTTGTTCACCTGAGTTACTATGAGGCTGGAGGCCTTGGACTTGTATTAAAGAAAATTGCGGATAGGACATATACTTTCTGTAGGTTTAAAGAAATTCTCTTTCCTTTGTCTAAGGATTGTTTTACCAGAATGATATTTCTTAAATTGTGTTCCTTATCTTGTCTACCTCTGAGCCACCTAACAGGGTGTATTAAGTAAAAAAATGACTATTTCTGAGCTCTGCTTCAGTCCTGTATATCTTAACAAAAAGTTACAGGAGTTTAGTTCTCTAATTTTGGGTTGAATGAAGGTTTTAAAAAACCACATTGAGATTTCATACAATCATTCATTTTGTTTTACAACATTAATTATTCTTAATTAATCAGTTCTTAGTGTGTCTAACTCTGGTTCAGATCCACCAGCAGATCTGTAGGAGAAGAATGGGCACTTGCCTTCCTCAGTTCCAAGTTGACTGCAGTGAGTTGAGTGGTGAATCACCCCTTACTGCACATTGCCTTGTGGGAAGATTTAGAAATAATAGCAACTCCCTCTATGATTCTTTTGGAATTAGTTCTTCCCTAGACTTTTATATGATGAAAAATTTTATTATAGTTATTAATATGTTTATCTTTAACATGAACTAAAAAGTATCTTCACCCTCCTCTCAGTATTAGCCCTTGATTTGTAAACCTAATACTTTGTTTTATGACTCTTATTTATAACTTAGTTCTTTAAAAATTATAAACTTCCAGGACAAGCAGTTGTCTTGTTTGGGTATGTCACACACTGTTGTTGTTGTATACCTTCGAGTCTGAACTGACCCATAGCTGATCCTCTAGCAGGTTTCAGAGGCTGTAAATCACATAGGAGAAGATTGCCCCTCCTCCTCTCACAGAGCAGCTAGTAGATTCGGACTGTAATGCCTTTGGGGTTGCAGTATAGCTTCTAATGTTAGGCTGCCAGAGTGTCTAGTGGGTGTCTAATTAGGGAGCTCTGGTGATGTAGTGGGTAACATTCTCTGCTGGTATCCCAAAGGGAGGGCACTTTGGAAGACACTGGACCAATAAGCAACATAATGATAGGTAGAAAAAAGATTGAAGCTCTCATGGATTTCATTTTTCTCAGATCCACTATCAACACCCATGATAAAAGCAACCAAGAAATCATAAGATGTGCTGCAGTGAGGAAATCATCTGATAGGAACCTCTCCGAAAGTGCTAAAGAACAATGATGTCATTGTAAAGACTGAGGTGCACCTGATCCAAGCCATGGTCTTTCAGTTACTTCCTGTGCCCCTGCAAGTTGAACAATGACATTTGAATTATGATGTTGGAGAAGAGTACTGAATATCCATTTAGCTGCCAAAAGAACAGATAAGCATGTCTTAGGGTGAAATGGTGAAACTTATTTCACTTACTTTGGGCTTGTCAGGTGTAGCCCTCCATGGGGAAAGACAATGTTTTGGGAAATGTGGAGCATTAAAAAAGAAAGGAATACCTTCAACAAGATGAATTGACATAGTGACTGTAGCCATGGACTTGAGCATGGCAAAGATCAAGAGAATAGCAAAGGATGGGACAGGATTCAGATCTGTTATGCATAGGCTGGCTGTGAGTAGTCAAATTGATGGCACGTAACAACAGCTTATCTCATTACTGGTATAGGTCTCCTTTAGAAAACAGTACAGTATTATCATTAAGCTATCATTACAGTAGAGATGTTGAAAAATTGTTCATAGAGATTTGTTTGCAAAATTCTGCTGTTTCAACTCATTTATTCATTATAACATTAATTTCTTTTAGTGTTACCATTACTTCCCAGTAGTAAATATAGTATATTTCTTGTTATATATACTGTGATGTGCATTTAACAAGTATTTATTGAGTGAATGAAAGTAACATAATAACTTAGTTTTGTCTGTCTCAGAATTGTTACATGCCTGTTTCTTTAAAAAGATACTATGTCTTAGCCCAGTGAATATTGACATCTCAAAAATGGTGTATCAGAGAAAGACTTGGGCAGACAACTGATAGACTTCATAGAATAAAGACAGCCATGGAGTCATAGCCATCCACTTCAGCAGCTGGGCAAACCATTTCCCCATGCTTCCAGGGGAAAGTCACCTGACAAGGCTCTCTGTAAACACAAGCATTAATCTAGGTCAAAGGGGCCAAGACCAAGGAAGACAAATCCAAGGACATATGAAGAAAAAACTCACCCAAAAGCCCTCCACCTGTCCCAGAAAGGTGAAGAAGCCAAAAGAGCTCTACGGCCACTATTACAAGTTTAACATAAGGGCAAGGTGTACTGGGCCACCAAGGACCAAGAGATGAGTGCAGCCACATCTATCAGCTCCGAGAACACCCAGTGAGCCATCAGAGCAGGGCCGTGGGCCCCAGCTTCTAGGCCTCTGCTTGGTGAAGGGCCATTCACCTACGCTGACCCTGGGGTAGTTTCAAATAAAACAATACATGAAAGGGCAGAAAGCTCCCCACTTACCAACATAATGAGAAAATGGAAGAGGAGAACATCACAAAATGAAAACTGGATGTATCATTACATCACTGCCAAACTGCTGAAATTAATGGTCAGCTAAACTGACACATAACCTTAATCATCATTTAGCATTCATTACTTTTTTCATTGTTTTAAATTCATGCACATTGTTTTTTATGCTTTCTCCTTCTACCCACCCAACTCTTCAACCCCGTGATTTTTCCCCTCCCTCATCTGTGCCTTTTCCTCTTTGTATATCCATACACATCTCACTGGTTATACTTCTGTTATTAGCATTAATAATGAATAATTAATTAAATAGGTAATATTTGTCTTTAAACACATTAAGTCTCCAGCATTTCCCATACTGTATTTTTCAAAATCGTTACTTTTAAATGCTGCATAGTATTCCATTGTGTGACTATACCACAGTTTCTCAATACAGTTATTTAAGTTATTTATTGATGGACATTTAAACTATTTTCCATGTCTTGTTATTGTGAATATTGGTGCCATGAACATCGATATATAAATCACTCTTTCTCAGTTCTGTTTCCCTTGGGGTATTTCCTAGCAGTGGGTCATATGGAATCCATGTTCAGCTTTTTGAGGACACACAAAATTGCCTTCCAGAGTGGTTGTACCATTTTACATTTCCACTAACAGTGTATGAGAGTTCCAATCTCTCCACATTCTCTCCAGCATTTATTGCCTACTCTTCTGTTAAACTTTGCCAATGCTACTGGGATAAGATGGTATCTCACTATAGTTTTGATTTGCATCTCTCCTGTTACCAGTGATTTTGAGCATCTCTTCGTGTGTCTGTTGGTCATGCAAATGTCTTTTTCTGTGAAAGGTCTTTCCCTATTATTTTGTAATTAGGTTATTAGACTTTTTCTTGTGGAGGCCCAGAAGTAGTTTATAAATTTTCATTATAAGATCTTTGTCTGAGATGTCATTACCAAATGTTTTTCCCAGTCACTTGGTTTTCTTTTCACCCTCTCCGAAAAAGTTTCTGATGCACGCAGGGACTTAATCTTTAGAAGGTCCCATTTATGAATGCTGTTCTCTCCTGGTTGTGCAAGTATTCATTATTCTTGGCTTACACCTGGCCATCTCAAGTTCCTTAACATCAGATGTACAAATTAGAACTAGGAATGTAGAAATAATAAGGGAAGAGTAGGGGAAATAAAAATCATATACATATAAATACCTGTAACATATACTTAAGTATCTATGAAATATTTATATATTTCTTTAAAGGTAGTATACTTGTGGTGAACAAAGGGAATTTTAAACCCTGTCATTTCTGCTCTAAAAACTTGAGTTTTGTGCATAAATGTAATATCCCAAATTGTAAGTTCTGTGTGTGCCACGGAGTCAAAATTGACTCATTGCTGACCCTTCAGCGGATTTTCAGAGACTGTTACTCAAACAGATTACTCATTCTTTTCCTGCTGATGAAGGCATCTTTTTCTTAAAAGTATATATCTTTCTGCTGCAAAGAATTGGAAACCATCCCAAACCTTTAGTAAGTTAATCCCCCTATTACTTTAAGTATAATATTTGATACATCCAAAGAATGTTTGAGTTATAATGCTAATTATAAAATGATACCTTATGACTATACTCCACTTTAGAGCTATTGCCAATATGTGTGAGGACTTACCTCCTTTAGAATGTCATAGGTCTTAATTTTGTTCCTTGCCTTACTAAAATAAATATTTCAAAAAGTGTCTCTCAAATTTGATTTTGTAGTGTCTAAAAATAAATTGACAGTTTATGTAATCTCCTGAAAAAAAATTTTTTTCACTATAACATGCTCATAAGATTGAGTGTTTTACATTTAGTTACAGTTAATTCCTTTTTGCTGTGGTATAATACTCCACTCTGTAAACATGTTATTTTTTCCATCTTGTCCACAGACATTTGAGTTCTTGGTAAATTTTCTTCCTATTACGAATGAAAGACTTAAATGCTTATTCTTGCAAATCTCCAGTTACTCATAGGTAAAAGTTACTCTAGCTTTTATTCTTCAGATTAAAATTGCTAGATACAGGAGATAGAAATACTTGATTTTTTAAGGTAATTATTTGCACATCATCTGATAGTTGTTTGTCTTTATAGGACATTTTTCTTTTTTTTTTTCTTCTATCATTCTTATTTATTGTTGTTTTTTTAATTATAATTATATTTTATTAATTTTCATAAACATTTACAGAGATTTTGGGCTTCCACTCATTCATTGTTGCACTATTCTCTCTACCCTCCTCCCAGTTTGTTCTTGTCCAAATGCCACAGTGCTTGTCAAAGCCAGTTCTGATTAATCTTCTTTGTCAGTGTATCCTTTGCCATTCCCTATCACTCCTCCCTGAGAGAGACTTCACCCTGAGTCATAAGGAAAAGGGGACGGCGTATTCTCTTAGCTACTTCCTGCTGAAAAGGGACGCTGTGGGTTTCAGGGTGAAGATCTTCTCTCACTACTCTAAAGGGCCCCTTTGGCAGTAAGAAACACATAGAATATTATGGAGATTGATTTTGGAATTCAGATGCACTCTTATTGATTGTGCTTGGCTGTACATGTACATATCCTTGAAGATGTATCATGGGGGTGTTGCAACCTAGAAGACACAAATTTGACTAACAAGTTATAAGTACATGAGTCCAAAAATTATGGAAAAGTAAAAGAAAAGATTCTTTCATTGTTTTACAAACCCTCCCCCAGGTCCCCTCCATCATGCAGCCCTCGCTCTAGTCTGCTGTGATGACAGAAATACCCAGTTACATCTCTCTTTTAAACGGTTCTCTCCCTCCTCTGTTTCAGTGCAGTATACATTATTGAACCCATCTTACTCAGTCTCTCCCCAACCCCAAGGACAGTCCCATTCTACAACAGTGGCATCATGTAATATTTGTCCTTTTGTGACTGGGATATTTCACTCAGCATAATGTTCTCCAGAGTCAACCATTTTGAATAATATTGCATGAGTTCCTTGTTTTTTAATGCAGCATAGTATTCCATTGTGCGAATATACCACAGCTTCTCTAGCCATTCGTTTGTTGATGGGCACTTAGGTTGTTTCCAACTCCTTGCTATTGTGAACAAAGCTGCAATTATAGGACATTTTTCTGTTTCAGCTGATTACAATGGCTCTAGAATCTGAAACTGCACTTGACATTTACTAATTGCCTGGTAAATTTGATGAGTTAACGGAATGTGTTTCATACTCATTTTGCCAGTTTATACTTTTATCGACCATGGAAATCTTTCATTTGAGTTGCATGTTTGCCTTGACTTGGATCCTGCTCCACCCCCAAGTCTAGTTAATGAGTTCTTTACCATAGTTTTAACTGTTTTCTCATTTGATGATGGGATGCTGCACATCTTTTCAGGGTCTTTGGCTCTTAAGTTAGGATGTTTTGCAACCAGATGATCTTCTTTACTGTTACAGGTGGATGGAGAGCTAGAAGCCCTAATGGAAAATGGTGAAGGTCTCTCAGATAAAAACCAGGTTCTCAGCTTATCCCGATTAATGGTTAGGATTGAAACATTGGAGCAAAAACTAACCTGTCTTGAGCTAATACAGGTGAGCATTTTAATACTAATTTACTCTTTAATTTGAGGTGGGACATTTAAACAGAACCCAGAAAGCTTAATTGAGAAAGATGAATTCTGATGAGAGTTTTAAAATGAGTGTGTGAGAGACCTCTGGGGTTCTAGTGACAAGAAGTTGCACTGCAATCCCAAAAACGTGCAGTTTGAATCCACTGAATGATCAATGGGAGAAAGAAGCATGGGCAGTCCCCTCCTGTGCGATAAAATGCCTCTGAAAACCTGCCAGAGTCAGTTACGACTATGATGGTACACAATTACAACATGTGAATTCTGCTTGATTTTTATTTGAAAATGGCGTTCTGTCTAATGAAAAAGCATTTTTATGTGCATGTATCTCTCATACTTCATGCACTTGGTACAGTATTCCTCCCTTTTGGATTACTAGCCTGCTGTTTGTACCATTGAATCTCAAAACAAGGAGTGTTAGCTGTAACCTCATTTACGTATGCCACAAAATGTTGGGCAATAAAAAGAGTTTTAAAACATATAAGAAAAACAAAAAGGGTTTTGAGTAATCTTCTAAAAGTGAGAGGAAAAAAATACTTTCTTTAAAAAAAATTTTATTGTTTTTTGTGTGTGTGTGTGTACCGTCAAATCGGATCTGACTGGTACAGGAGGAGATTGCCCCTCCTTCTCCAGCAGAGCATCTGGTGGATTTAAACTACATACCTCTGGGATTGCAGTGTAGCTTCTTGCTACTAGGCCACCAGAGCTCCAAGACCAATTTTTTTTTTATAACTTTAACCTTTTCAGTAAAAATAGTAGATGCAAATTATTTCTTAATCCCTCAGAATTGCATTTCAATGTAAAGAATGTTTTATATTTAAATTACTTTCTACTTGAACAAAAATCTAGTTTGCTTGGGTACATTTTGGCCATCATTACGGGTCTGTTATTAAGTGTTTGTTTAGTTGAGTCATTCAAAACAGAATTCTAGTTTTTAGTAAATATAAATGGATTCTTTACTCTTATCTACAAGCCTTCTGGAACAGTTTGTTCAGTGTTTCCTCTTTCCTGACACCCTGTACCTTGTCTCCCTTCCCTCATGGAAGAACACACACTCACAGTCTTGCCTGAAATCCTTTTTGGAACGTCATGGACTTTCCTTGCTGTGGATCTGGATGGCAGAGCTAGGTGATGGTCGGGAAAGTAACCTAAAGCTTCAAGAAGAGGTTGGTTCACATTTAGTTTTCTTATTTAAGATTTCTGTATTGACTGCTTAGGTTGAGGATATATGACAATGTTAATGGCTATTAACTTAGCGGTATAACTGTTGGTGTTATCACTCCTATAACACCTGACTAGTTTTGAATTTGTCACATAGTTTTCCCTTTTAAAAGTCATGTTGTTACTATAAAACTGGGACTGGCAAGATTGAACTATGAAAAGTGTTATAGTTAAATAAAGGGGACCCCAGTTTGTTGCTAAAATTACGGATTTTTAAAAAGATGGAAAATCATATAAAACTTGAGTTCTGGGACTCTTAAAAAATTAGGAGCTTTGTCTGAGTTTTACACTCAACCTAAAGAAAGTTAATGAATAAAATGAAAGGAAAATATAAAAAAAATTAGGAGCTGTTCTGGGTTACAATAGTAAAAACATTTTGAAGATTGATGAGGTATTTTAAAAGTTCTAAGTAAATGTATAACGTAAGCATAGACCAGTAAGTTCTTGCTCTTACCCCTCTTACTCTTCCTGGGAGAGTTCACAATAAATTGGGTAACCTCTGTAGAAATGCATTGAAAAGTGCTTTGGGAAGAATTTTCTTGGATTTCAGAGGAAATGGCAGAAAGAAGACAGTCTGTCTTTAGTAGATAGCTGTTTAGCAGATTAAAAAGGTACTAGGGAGCCCTGGTGACTGAGTGGTTAAAGGTTACGCTGCGAACTCAGAGGTACATAGTTTGAATCCATCAGCTGCTCTGTGGGAGAAACATAAGCAGTCTTGTGGGATTTATTGCCCCTGAAAACTCACTGGTGTGTCAGCTGTGAGTTGGTCCTGACTCCCTAGTATATAACAATAACAAAAAGTTAGTATCTGCATTTTTATGTGCATGAAAGAAATCATAATTGTAGGATGTTGTATAACTCCCAAGTTTACAGGATGAAATTTCACTGTTGTATGCATGTACGTGTACATATTATTTATTCACAGTGTCCTCAGGCTAGGGAACTGCTCAAAGAGAATTTTTATAAAATTCTTCATCAGAGTTGAGTAGCGAGACACTCTGCCTTTGTTTTTGCCCTTCCTATTAGTCTTATTAAAGCTGCTTTGTATCCTTTCTAGAACAAAAGAATATTAAAACATTTTAATCTATGCATTTACAGGGCCTGAAGATTTCGTTTAATAAGGTGGTAGTAGTAGAATGTCCCTTTTCTTCAGCGATTATCTAAGCCCAGTCAGGGGCTTAAAAAGTCAGCTAACTGTATAAAGTGATCTCTTTTTTTGTTTGTTTGTTTAATTAGATCATAAAGACTTTGGAGCACTTGCCCATTCCTACTAAAAATATGTTAGAAGAAAGCAAAGTTCTTCCAATCATTCAGCGTTGGTCACAAACC